CATAATAAAGTGCAAGAAGATTTATTAAAATTAGTTACTATTGAAAATACATCTAATTATTCATCTATAAAAATTATAAAGGTGTTATCTAGTATAACATATATACGTATACTAGTACCTTTATCTAACCTATATCCCTAGAAATAGAACATACATTTATACGAATTCAGGATAGAAACTGTACCTAATTACTATATGATAGTGGTTGTTGTTTTTTTTCGTACGCGTTAAATTTGTACTAAGTGGCGTTTTTTTAATTTATCTAAAAATATAAAATTATTGGACAGTAAATGTACGTATTAATATAAAATATGTGTTTAATAAATAATTTAGAATAAAACTATTTAGTACTAATCTTGATATTGGCTTTCTCACGGGGACAAATAATGCTAAATATCGAATTCGATTTTTTTTTTTTTTTTTTTTACTTTGACCACTTCATTTTGTGTTGAATACGATAACTTTATTTTTAATATCTAACTTCCAAAAATGTATGTACTTTTTTTTAATTTTACGTAAGTTTATTTATTTTATTTTATTGTGTGCACTAATTTTCGTTATTTATTTATTACCTATATATTATTGTAATGCTGATCACCACACTCGTAATCACTTTTTACTATTACTGTAACGCGTACGTGAATCATGACATTTTAATATTACTACTCCTAATCGTAGTAGAAATTCATCATGATAATAACTGTAAATTAATTTATTGTAAACACTCAGTATCTATTTATCGAGAATTTTTTATCATTAGCATTTTGCGTTTGTGTGCTTACTTAATTACTTACTTTTAATTAGCCGTCAGCTTGGCAGTCTGCGTTCCTTCAAATTGTGATTTTTTTTTATTTGTGTTCATTTAATATTGTGCCAAAGGTGTTAAAATGATTATTAATTTTATTTTTCTAAGCCAAAATGGCTTATATTTTATATGAATTTATTATTTAATATTCTATTTAGTTATACATACATATTGTCGGACCAAAAGGGCTGGTTAGGATTAGTGCTAGTGCTAATGGCTATTATTAAATAATATAAAATCAAACTGGTTTTCAATTATTATATTTAATTCAATTGTTACACCATGAGTTTAATTAGTAATTATATATTTATTATTCATTAAACAGCAACAATAGTTACTTGAAATTATTCCAGTAACTTTATATTTCATAATTTTTCACATTATAATACAAATACTTCGCATAACATTGCTATTTATATATAAATAATATATAATATTTTCCTGTCAGTCCTGATCACTACTTGTTCAGCTATTACATTACATTACACACCGTCTGTATAATTAGCGAGGTCGTATCTGTGTAATTTTTTATTAAAGTATATTAAGACAACAACTTAGAAAAAAAAAACCGTATTCAGTATGCTAAAATAATTTTTATTGAACTTGGCTAATATTGCCCAACCACTAGTTATTCCAATAATATAATATTATGTAAATTATAATTATTTGAAATTTTTTTTTTCAGGACCAATATGTTGTTTAAACAATTATTTGCCTCGAAAGCATGTAAAGTAAATAAATATTTGCTTATTTTACAATATTAAAATATAGGACAAAAGAGCTGGTAAACATACTGTGACAAAGTATTCATCAAGTATTTGTCCTTCGCCATTTATCGGTCGTCTTATTTGTATACATTTGAGATCAGTCGCATATATAACGTATTATCATCGCATTCAACAAACGGTTTCAAGTGGAGGTCGACATAATACAATAATTTAATATTGAACATCTCTGTATTTCGCTGGTTTTCTAATTAAAACTATTGTTTGAAATGTCACTTAAATGTGTTCCTCGTGACAGGGCCATTTAATTTACAAGTATTAAAATATTTAAAATTACAAAATTAGTTATTCATTAAGGAAACTGAAATGCATGTTTCAGGTTTGCAGTATTTTTAATTTTTAATGTATTTAAAAAATTGACCTAATAACATTTCAGAAAGTGATCTGTATAATATATAGATAATTAAAGTTGTTATTTGTATCCATAAATAAAATTTCAAAGTGTGTAACAAAAAATAAAAAAAATTCAATTAAGTGATTTCGGTATGAATTTGAAGTTTTATAGTAGTGATTCCTAACCTTTTTTTTTATTTAACACCTTGATAGTAAATTTAAAAATGTATAGATCTAATTTATATACTTAGTAAATCTATAATTATAAAATATAAAAATTGTATCTACTAGTGCTCTGCACGGTCCGGACTAGACCGGACCATGGTCCTAGTTTTAATATTGTTATTTATTACCGTTTTAATTAGTGAACTTTATTATTTATCATTCATGTTACAATACGATTATAGTATAATGTAGTATAAATATACCGTATATACCTATACTAAAATATAAATTTACTATAGTCTATTTTCATGGTGCAATATTTTTTTTTATTTTGATCGTTTGTCCGTTCTATTATATGTTATACATAGGGTCTTGTATGGTAAAAAAAAAAATAGGTCCGCGGTCCGGTTCGGTCCGATCCATAAGCTTTTACAATCCCAAATGTATTAATTTGGACCGGCCATCCGGTCTCGGTCCACTTAAATTGTTTTAAATTTTCAGTCCGGTTCGGTCTAAAATTAAATGTAGCAATCGATTCAGTTCGACTTCGGTCCTTTTTTTAACATTTTCAGTCCAGTGCGGTCCCTAAAATTACGGACCATGCAGAGCACTACTTGAGGATAAAGGTCATCACGCACGTTGCAGCGATAGCACGACGAATATTGTTGTTATATAAACGGTAATTGGTTGGTTTTAATGCATAAACATTTTTTACATTTTGGAAAGAACGCGCGTTGAGTGCACTTGCACTTTTATAAATTATACATTATTTTAAGCTTGGTGATATTAAATTTTTACGTAATAAACTTGTCGCATTCGAACACGAAATAATAACGGGATCACAACAATTAAGAGGCGCGTACGATATACGTGTGTAACGGGCAAGGTGCAAATCGCAACTGTTTTATTATTAAATTATTTATTTGTGTAGGCTTGGCCACTGTGGCATCTCGAGTTTCACAATACATTTTTGGATCGGCACTTACATCTGTTAGTCATACATTTTTTTAAACAATCACATCTTACTAATCCTTGTCCACCAGTCAAAGATTGTTGTGATACTGCTTGTCGAATACTAATTTCTTTATCCGGTATAATTGCCGATTCTAAAAAATGTTTTTCGCATAAGATGAACTGTTTGCGAGTGAGTTTTGAGATTGTTCCTGCTTTTGTACCCAGGCGATAAAAATCTCCAACCACAACTTGTAACACCTGATTAATATGCGGGCATAAATTTTACTTCAATGGACTTCTGGAATTTTAATTTTGACAGTTTGTCCAATCAATACAGTTGGCATTTTCTTGTTCGACAGTTTATTTATTTTCTTACATATTTTTGTAGACCAATATGTGATTCTTCCCGATGTTGCTTTTTTTTTTTTTTTTGTATCCACGCTTGTATTATTATTATTTTAACAACCCTTATTTCTACATATTCAGTTTCTCCAGGTCAAATCACAATCACCATAACCACAATTAATTATCAAATCTGTTCCGTATCATAAACTAAATTGTATCTATAACACAGTATTAAGCAGGAACAACTTTTTAGCTAATTTATTGATTGTATGAGTAGGTACACGTGTCAAGGTCAAATCTATGTATCTAATATACTAGTAAACCTAATCTACTTAAATAATAATTATTATTAATAATCAATAATACAATTTCGAAATTTTACTAACACTGATTGTTTATCCTAAGATTTATCAAATTTCATTTGTAAAAGTACAAATTTCAAAAATAATTCGGAGTTAGACCAAATCATTTTGTGTAGGTTTTTGTGTACGTTGTTCCAGTAAAAAGTATAGTAATACTAACTACAATCCATAAATAAAACATCGAATTTTAGGGTGCACTTAAACGCTTGTTTCATTGTTTGAATTTCAAGCATTTTGTGTAAGCAATTTAAAAAAATATAATACAGTTATAAAATGTACGTGACATTTTAGATGAAGTGAGATTTTTTCAATTTTCCCAACATTTTGGCTATATTGTGTGCCTATTGAAATAAATACAATTTGCTTAATCGGTCTACGACTACATTAAAACAACTGCCCAAATGTAGCACAGTTTCAGTAATTTGCAAAAATAATTAAATATTATACTTTACTATTCGGTGGATGTTAAATCACTTACGCAGTGTACAATATTGTTTTATTTCTTTCATGGTAAATAATTTAATTATTTAATGTCAGACATGAACGAAGCGCATAAAAGAGGTCCGACCACAATACTTACAGCATTTTTACAAATCAGCTAAAGATGACTAGTAAAACATAAACTTATCAATCTGAGGTTGCTATTTTTGACTAATGTTAGTTCAACATTTATTGGTTTTTAGTTTTTGATGTTATTGATGAGAATTGTTTTCAATTTTAGAATCGATTTTTTGTATTCATAGAAAATTTTTAATGTCAATAGATATATTGTTTTCCAAAGATGTAAAAAGTCAGATTTTAAAAATTTACAAGGTTAAATCAATGTAGCTTGGGCCTTGTTATTTTTTTAATGTTTGCTAATAGTATTCAAAAAATATATAATTACTATAAAAATTAATTAATTCAACGACAAAAAAATCAAAACCATCACTATACAAAATTTTCATGTAAATATTTTAAAGTACCAAAACCATACATCACAGAAAATTCTGCTTGAAATAGTACCTGTAGTATTTTTTTTCTGCCAGCACTTACGAGAAAATTAAATTTTAAACATTTGAGTCTTCGAAATCTATATATCAACTAAAAAACATAATATATAGGTACTACACTTACATTTTATTTCAGTTTCAAGATTAATTTATAATAGAGTGAAATAATTAATTATGTATATTTTAATTAGACGATTCAATGTGAATGTTCAATTCTAAAATAATATTGCTGATCATTAGCATTATTTCGAGAGGCAACTATTCGATATGATTAGTATATTAAATACACTGCATAAATGATGAATGAAAAATTGTATTCGTGCTAATTATAGTTCTTTTGTTTCGTAATAACCCATCAGCTACTTGCATATTGATTGACCAGAACGGATATTATCTTGTACGTTACATGTACAACCTGAAAAAATAATGTAACTATTAATGATAATACGAGTATGCGCATTATTTATTCATATTTTTTTGTTCAATATTGCTCATAGTCATGAAAGATTAAAAATAATAACAATAATAATCAACAGAAAATTGCGTACGTTTGTAAACAATTCTAGGTTGACAACCATTTGCGTAGTCACATTAAGTTTTAAATTGCTTGTATTTTTGACCCGCATTGTGAGCAACAATAGTTTCTTAAACTTGATGTTCATCTCGGTCCAATTGCAATTGTACAACGCGAAGTTGATTGAGTCATTCTGAAATCAAGTATAATTGTCTACACTCGGTACTAGAGCCACATTTAAGGCGTGGTTCAGGGAGGAAATTGTGATAAAAATATTTCTTTAATCAGTAACCTATTGAAAATTGATTGTGGGGGAGGTGGGTTTATAATTTTTTTAAAGAATAAGTGATTTTATAGTATTATAAAAATACATATAAGGTATGAATTAATAATTATATTATTATAAACACAACTTAAGAGTTATTTGTGATAAAAAAAGGTGATCATCTTTTCTTTTTTTTTTTTTTACCAGTTCATCAATAAAATAACTAAAAGTTAAACCCAAGTAATTTATTTTTATACAAATATTAGAATCATATGATATAAATTAATGTTCCATTTTTCTGTACCTTTGCAGAAAGTAATTTATCACTTTTGAACTTTTTTTCTGAGAAAGGTCGAGACCCAGAAATCCCCATCTCCAAAAATATTTAATTTAGATTTGTATTGGGATGGTACATTTATACCAAAGGGTACCACCAATCAGTCTTATAAGAGACAATTTTCTATAACTTCATTTAGATGGTTAAAAGTCAGTTATTATTTTGAATTTTATATTAATACTCATATAGTTTAATGGTGTACTAAAATGAGGAAATTAAATTGCGAGCGACTTTTTAATGAATAGTTGAAGATACTTGTTTTCAGTTTCATATTTAAGGGAAAAAAGGCGTAAAACCTTATATACGGCCCTGTTCAGGACTCAAAATTATAATATTTTATACGCGTATTGAACGGCGAGTCGTTTCCATAGAAGACGATTGACGGAACACTTTTTTGTTCATATATTGCGGGCGAACGGTTTAACCATATAATAACACATGGATTGTTTTACTTTCGTGTATTAATGCAGAACGTCTACGACAAAAACCCGGTTATAACGTTGTTTGGGTTCATAAGAGACTCGGTTGTGGTTAAGTATCCAGTACCGCCACTCTGCAAGCCGGAAATCCATTTATATTGAATTCAAGGTACTGCAGGAGACTGTGGATTCCAGATTTCGTTCAAGGATGGAATATAAGAAATTATGCTAAAACTGCACAGTTTTGAACTTTTTGCTGGATTCGCCTTTTAAAGTAGGTTTCAATAATGGTATAATATGAGTATATGGTAGTGATGAGTCAAACCCTGATTTTTTAAATCGAACCGAACTTGAACCGAAATTTAAATTATTTTTTCGAACTTGAACTGAACCGAACCTTCATATTTTCTACGGAACCGAGCCGAACCTATTATGATTTTAAGTCGAACTCGAACTCAAACTCAATACTTTTTATCAAGTACATTGTACCACACACTTTATAACGTATCGTGGGCTATCTATGTATATTTAATCAATGATTGTTCCTACCAACAAATTAAATCAACCATGATTATTAATTACTATTGTATTTTAAGTTTTCGTATTACCTATTCGGCATTTTAACTTTTAAGTCTAAGTAATTGTACTGTTTACAATACATTTAAATTTTTAATCATTTTTTCTTATTATTTTTATTTTTAAAAACCAGTATTGTGCTCTCTCTCGTGTTGTCTTGTAGCTTTTAAAATATTATTTGAGTATTGAGTATTGAGTGTAATATGACAATACAATCAGTACATTTTAATCATATATAAAAAAAATAGTAATAATAACTATAATTCACAAATATAGAATTATTAGTAACATTTATAATGTAAGACTTAAGTTGTAAACATGTTTTTATTAACAGCGCAGTCGCGTATTGGCATATTACCATGGATTTACCCAAAATAGATTTTAACCTCTACAATAAATATAATAAAAACAAAAATAGCTAATTTATGAATGTATATACACTACCTCTATTGGCAATAACAACTTATTAATGTTTTGGTCAGCGGAGGGTGGATGTGCAACAAGCGACTGGAAAAATAATATTATTATTATAAATAATGCATAACGTGCCCACTACAGATTATCACTTTCTATCGCCAATAGTCTAATTATTTTTAAATAATCGTTATCAATTTTTATTTTTCAAAAATAACTTTTAAAGAATTGTACACATTTTTAGTTTTCGAACTATCGTGGCTAGAAAGTCAAATATTTTCAAGTTCGATTTTCGAACAGTAAAATATGCTTGACAGTTCGGTTCGATTTTTTTCATGCCGAGTTCGAATTTCGAACCGAACCGAACATCAAGGGTTCGGTTTGGTTCAATTCGAGATTCGAACAGTTCGACCCATCACTAGTATTTGGTGAGTGATATATCTACGTATAAGAAATATTATATCAATTCAATTTTTAAATGTTATAGTACTATGTACGATTAGTGGTGTCCTGGCATCATATACATATGTAATATTGGAGGAAATTATCCCATTTAGCAAATTTCAAGGGGCATCACATTTTAATTTGACTACAGTGATTCAAAAAATAATGTAACATAGGCAATGAATATATTTATTTGTTCCTAATGTCCCCTCTTCAATTGCATAATTAAACATATTAATCAGATACGTGGAATTTTAGAAATAAAATTTGGTTATTTATTAAAAATACGATATTAACCGTATTAGTGACGACTTGTTTTACAGGGAACTCCGTCTTGCATTAACTATCATTAGTTATCATTAGAGTTTGGGATTATTATTTATTATTATTATTTAGATATTTGGGATTCCTTACAAATTATAAGCAATATGTACTTTAAATACTTTAAATATATGCACAAAAATATAAAACTGAATTTTTTTTTAATGCAATTAAAAAATGTTATTTATTTATTTAGATTTAGAAAAAAAATTGTAATTAGTATTTTTTGACAACATTAATACTATAAACATAATGTTACTGTATATGTTTGATTTCATTTTAATGATCTTCTCCTACAATGAAAAAAACAAACGTAATACTTATTTTCCTTATACATCTCTAAACGATTTACGATAACTAACAGTATACGTAAGAATAATTAGGTATTTCCCTAATTGCCAAATCCAGTTTATAATGTTATTTTCTCATCTTTATTCATAAACCTAGTTATACGGAAAATCAATTAGGTATTTCCTTGTATTGCCCTATCCTGTTCGTTCTTTGATTAAGAATTGACTGATTCATGAAAGTAAAAAAAAAAAAATAATGTTAACCTTTAAAATAAATTTATTTTCAGTACGTGTATAACCACCGACCGTTCTACACATGTGTCGCGAGTACGTATTTATCAAGCTTCCGATAGCAATAACGTAATTACACACTCGAACACGTAATATGAATCATTATACTTGACCTGAGAACAACACTAAAATGTACAAAAACGCCTCACCAGGCAAAACAACTACAAACAAACCCCAGTTAAATAAAATTCCAAAACCACAAACTCCAAAAAAAACAAACGAATCCATACTCGAAATGGAGACGAAAATACCAAATCCTAGTAAAATAAAAACAACACCAGCACACACTCAATCTAATTATCACACAACCAAAGCAAGCGATAACGACATCGTCTCTCCGTCGTCGACCGTCGTCTCCAATACTTCCGCCACTCAGCCGCCGCCCACCACCAGTATCAACATCGTTAACGATTATACAACTAGTACTGACAATAACACTACACAATTCGATAACTCCGCCGCCACGGCAATATCCGATAACACTTCTAAATTAAACCCAACTCAATACACTACGGATAAAAACAATAAAAATATTTTTATTTTCGCCGCAATCACAGCAAATGAAAAACCACCGTCAAGAGAACAAGCGTTAGTACTTAACTCAATCAATGGTATACCACAAAAAGAATACATCATGGCCATAGGCAAAATTGTATCACCCAAAAACATACTATTCGGCTCAAGAATTTCAAACAACCGTTTCTGTATCTTCCTATCAAACAAAATAACACTCGATAATCTAATGGAAACACACCAATCAATTTCTATTAACGAACACGTAATTCAGATTCGCAGACTTATTAACCCGACTAAAAGGATAGTAATATCTAATGTATGTCCATCTATTTCCAATCAAGTAATACTTGACCACTTAAATAAATCCAACATAACACCGATATCCCAATTAACCTACCTCAAAGCTGGAATCACCAATGGAGGCTATGAACACATTAAGTTTTCGGAGACAAATGTTCATAAAACACGAAGACGCGCCTAACATCCCAGGATCACTACTAATAAGTGATAACGATTCCCAATACCGCATCTTTTTCACAGACGATCGTATTACACGCTTTAATTGCAAAGCCATCGGGCACATGTCTTTAACTTGCAAAAAAATGGCCATGAATAAATTGGAAATAACAAAACCGTTGAACACTGTAAATGTAACAAACACCCTATATCCCTCAGAAAAAATATCTACTGATCTAATTAAATTCGATCAACCATCCACTAGTTTATTGACCGATACAATAGCCGATGAAAGTCATAAAGACCAGAACGACACAGTGTTCCCAACACTAAAACGTCAAGCTTCACTAACAATATCCTCAGCGGATCCAACAAGCCCAACAATCAAAATATTATCCACCCCACTAAATCAACAAGGATCCAAAAAAAAAAAAAAAATACTCAAAACCTCCAATCCCTCCGAGGACATCTCAAAAAACACACAAAACACACCAATGAAATCAACCCACCAAATCATCGCTCCTGCTCAAATTCACGTAAACGTTTTTCCGACAACATTGACGAACACCTCGAACCAACCAAATAATTGTTCGAAAATACAAAACATGTCAACATCAATTTCTCACAACCAAAGCACATAATAGAAAATATTTCCTCTCAAGAAAACCCGCTAGAATCTATCTACGAACATGGAATAACAGGAAATGACATTCTCACAATATTAGAAACAATTAGACCCTCCCTCACCTCTACTTAAGCGAAAAACAACATTACCCAGATAAGAAACAAATTATTTCAAGCAATGGAGGTGGAAGTGAAACCACAAATTTCCCTTGAGAAATAAAACCAACCACCAAACAATACAAACAATCGTACCAATTAAACCCAAGCAAAACATACCTATAACCCTAGCATGTCAGACACAAATTTAAATATCATACAATGGAATCTCAATGGTTTCTTAAAAAAAAAGGATGAGCTTGAGTTCCTAGTACAAGAATACAATCCTGAAATAATATGTCTCCAAGAAGTCAACTTTAAAGAAAACTGCATATCCCCCCTCAAAAATTATGATGGACACAGCAAAAACTGTTTACAGGCAAATAGAGCCAGTGGAGGGGTAGCAATATATATTAAATCCTACATTCCAAAAATAATAATAAACATTCTAAGTGAAATAGAAGTTTTAGCTGTCCAAATTAACCTGAAAGAAAAACTTACAATATGTAATATATACCTTCCAAACCAGAAATAATTCACCACAGCTAATATCGAGCAAATTATTCAACAACTTCCCACACTATATATAATACTCGGTGATTTCAATGCACACAGTCCATTATGGGGCTCCAAAAAAAACTGACCCCAGAGGCAAGGCAATTGAAAAACTTTTGGAAAAAGACAATATAGCGTTACTAAATGATTCAACACCAACCCACATAAACATAGCAAATGGAAACTCTCCTGCATAGATCTAACCCTATGCCCCCCGTTCCTAGCACACAGACTAGAATGGAAAGTACTACTCCACTTATTTAGCAGTGACCATATACCTATCTAAATAAAATTTATTCCAAGGAAAGCTGTCACAAACAAAAACAAAAACAAAAGATGGAATTTAAAAAAACCAAACTGGCTCTCATTCGAAAAAATGGTGGACACACAAACAAACGAACTACCCAATAATCGCGAACAAAACACAAATGAAATGGCTGAAACCTTTACCAACATAATAACCAATGCAGCAAACAAATTTATCGGAAGCCACACAAAACAAAACACGAAACCAAGAGTACCCTGGTGGAATGATGAAATAAAAACAGCCATCCAAGAAAAAAAAGAAGCTCTCATTAGATTCAAAAAAAACAAAACACTTGAAAACTTCATATTACTCAAAAAACTAAGAGCCAAATCCAAATTTCTAATCAAAAGCAGCAAAAAAAAATCCTGGGAAAAATTCACTGGCTCAATAAATAATAGAACCAACTCAAAGGAACTTTGGAACAAAATCAGATCTCTGAAAGGACTCAATAGAGACAAAGAAATACACATATCCATCGAACACACCTCAACATCACAACCAGAAGAAGTCACCGAAATAATCGGATCGTTCTTCTATGAAAACTTCAGCAACTCAATATACAAAAAAAGAATTCATAGGCAAAATAATAATCCCTTCCGAAAACACTCCCATACATTTCGACATCAACCCCCTAGACACAGACCAAATTAGTTTGAATGCAACAATAACTTTAAAAGAGATGAATATCGCTCTTAGTAAATGCAAAAGCAAGAGCCCCGGTCCCGATGAAATACCCTACTGCTTCCTACAAAACCTCGGACCTACGGCCAAAAACTACCTACTAAACCTATACAACACAATATGGAGAACAGGAAGAATACCAGAAAAGTGGAAAAAAGGAATAATAATACCAATCCCTAAACAAGGTAAAAACAAGAATACTGTCGAAGCATACAGATCAATCACACTACTAAACACCATGACAAAAACAATGGAAAAAATAATTAACACTAGACTAGTTTGGTATCTGGAAAAAAAACAAAATCTTATCAAATGCGTCGCATTTGGAACAGTCCGTATTGTATAATTTTAAATCGTATTTAGGTATTCTGTACTATAGAAATCTACAAGCTATCTATGAATATAACTTCACGGTATGTATTTATATATAAATTTACAGTCTTGTAAAGAATACTTTTATTTTGTATTCAGAATACGTTTTTGAATAAATGGATGAAAATGTATTCAGAAAACCTATTCGGATAATTTAAAAAAAATACATTCAGAATATATATTCAAATACTTAAAAATGTATTCGGGTACTTAAAGTATTCGAATACTTTTAAAATATTTTTTTTCGCCAATTTATGTTAATTTTGGAATAGTTTGGAAGTTAACGTTTGATGGCAAATTTTACTATATAATGCATAAAGTAAATGAACAAATAAATACTAAATATTACACATTTTATATCCGTTAATATTTAATACACCAAATATTCAAATATAGTTATTATTGGATTGTGAATACCAATTTTATTAAAAAATGCACGTTTTCATTTAAATTCCCCTTGATTTTAATATTTTTATTAATAAAATATTAAAATACACAGCAAATTATATTAAGTAAATACATACAGACTACAGTACACCATAATTCCAATGTAATCTTTTATATACCTACATAATTTAAAAATAATCATATTCATTATTCATTTATATTTCCACTGAAATGACTGAAAAGAAAAACTATTGTTCATAATTTATTATATACTGTATAAAATTTAAAAATTGCTGTATTTTCCCAAGGTTGAAACAATTTTATTAGTTCAGATAAAAGTATTTTTATAGTGAATAAAAAATACAAAATAAAAAAGTATTCAGAATACGTATTTGAATACTTTTTATGAAAAGTATTTAAAATAGTATTCGAATACAAAAAAAGTTCAAATGCTTTTAATCGAATGAATTTAAATTACAAATGTTATGGCAATAGTTAGAAAGTATTAATGCTTATTTTAAAGCTTATAACACGATAAACAGTTCAGAAAAAACGTCTAATATTTTATACATTTAATAATATATTTTATTTATTTGCCCAATGTGTACAATTATACACATTAATCAATTATAAGAACAACAAGTGAAAAATTTCGATTATTTTTATATCTAAAATTAAATTACTTATATTATTACTAATCATTATTAATTATTATATTATATAAGGTATAACATAAATAATTAATAAATCAAATAACTTTTATTTGATTTAAAACTTTTAAGTTTTAATTTAAAAAAATAAATAAAAATATTATTACATTTTGTCAACATTCGTACTTTTATGTACCCAAATAAAACGTTCATTTTTCATTTTTCTTATTCACCTATTTACGCTGATTATTAGTCGTATTTGATAATTTTTAACTTACGAATGTATCGATCATGCAAAATAAATAACACGTCGAGAATAAATGTATCATGTTGGTTAATGAAGATGATATTAACTTGATACTTTCCGGTGATGTCAGTGACATGCCTTTATTGAGATTCTAAAACGTAAACAGAACATTGTAGGATGAATTGATTGCGATACCTAGTACATGTTTAATATAGATTTATGGAATCGTACCAAAACGGTTAAAAATGGCTGTAACGTTATTAACATAGATTCAATCGACAGTTGAAAAAGTATAACTGGACGCATTACAGTGTAAATCTCGCGTATTCTCCTAAAATATTACCAAATTAATATCAGTGTTCGGTTTGTATTAGATATTATAACATTTGAAATATAATCACATACAATGATATTATTTTAATGTACCTATTATGAAAATGTATATAAGTGCTCTGAAGAAAAAATAATTTGTCAGTACTTGCTTTATGCATTTATGATGATCTTCAATGATTAACTTTAAATTATTTGAGTCGTTTGATTTATCACTCAATGAAAGATTTTCTTCGCCTGGATAAAAACATACCAAACACAAGAATGTTTATTCAGTTTGTTCAAAATGGATTATGAAAAATGTATAAAGAATAGCAGCGGTTCCTAAACTTTTATGGATCACGCATCCCCAAAATAAAAATAAATAAATTACGCTTTCTAGTAAAACATTTTTTATTAATTTAATATAAGCAAATTATAGTCGATCAAATAATAAATACATGGTAGTGAAATATACAATATAAATATTTGCCTTGCGCCTCCTCTCATAATTGCTTATATCTCACAGTTTAGGAATCGCTGCTATATAGTATGAATTTCAAAAACAAAAACAATAACTGTAATCAATTTTATAATTTTCTTTACGTATCGTTAGGTAGATGTATAGTTATAGAAGATGTCTATTTTGAACGTCTTTTATTAAATAATTACATTTTTCTATGTTACAAAATTATTATTATAAAACTAAATATTAGTGGAACAAAAACATTGAATTCACAAAAGTTATTAACGAATAAAGTTTTTTTTATCAAAATATTATTGCAAATTATTAATTTTTTACCGATACTTGATTGCTTATTATTCATTGATACAATTCTAAAAAGTTCTAAAAATTCTAGTTCTGTACTGATAAAACAAATATTAACTCACTTTTAAAGAAATTATTGTATCCCAGCATGCTGTATGACATCGCGATCATTTTCAACTGATACGCTATTGCTATGCACATGGAAATTACCAGATAGTCGAAACTCATCATGGAATAACCGTAGCAAAATAATGCCATCATTTCGAGTAAATAAAACAATTTAAAATTGGCGTTATAGAATTCGTTTGACACCGGAAATAGTAGATTGAGCATGTTGTAACGATATCGGTTGTACGTAGTATTTTTCGATTTAATGTTTATGTAGTTGTCGCTTATGATGATCGGTGACAAGATCCATATCATTATCACAATGATCCAGACCGATATGATGATCTTGGAGACCTTTATTGATATTGTCCGCGCATCAACAAGAATCGCTCTTTGGTGGCCGTTGTAAGACAATAAGTCTATCGACGTGAATCCTATGAACTCCCAAAGCATGTCGGAGTTGCGGATTATAAAGTACATTTTGATTAGTGCGAACAAAGTAGCGATTATCAACATTACGTACTTCACTACTTCGGCTAAGTCGTTCAGTGAATAGTAAATGCTCATGTTGCACATTACCAAAACTAACGCGAGGTACAACACTGAAATAGAACCGCAGAGTTTATAGAAATTAACACCAAACAGTTTTGTGGTATTCGGGTTCAACAATTGATATAAACCGGTAATCTTCATCAGTTGTAAATTAATTATATAACAATTTCCATATTCCAGTGCCATCGTCGTCGATCTCGGTTCGTACTGATATGAGAGGCCACTGCTCAAAATAAATTCTCGTGTAAATAATAATAACTATTGTAACAATACTTTTCGTTTACGATTTTCAGTTATTTGCACGTGGCTAATGAAGTGTAAATATCAATTACAAGTAATATGATATATAAAACGTGTTTAAATTCAATCGAAATCAATCGAGGAAAATAATATTTTATATCTGTGATTTATAACTCTTTTTATGTTGGTTAATTTAATAACTACCCAATGTTATAATAATTATTATTTTAACTACTACAGCCTAGTTACATCAAGCGTATATATTTTTTAAATGCAACTTAAGCGATAGAAATTAGACAGCAGTTGACGTATGACGAATATATTTTTAGAAATATATTTATTTTCATTTCATTTAAATTTTACTAATAGTAAGACGAAAAATTAACATTCTCAAGTATTCTAAACGAAATTTAAAACCAAAATATTGGAAATATTTAATTTATTTATTAAATATCCTACACAGATAAAATATTAATTTTCAACGTTTGTGTCAAAGTCGTATTTGAGAGATGGAAATGGAGA